TTTTTGGTAAGAAAATAGAAAAGGAATTTTCAAATATGACTGTTGGAAGAAATCTTAAGTTGATAGATAAAAATAATGACTTTTTATTTTACATGAAACCTTTTTTCTCTGTACAAGTTTTCATATATGTGGAAAAGAATATTGTCATTTTAAAGGCAGCTAAAAATATCATATCACCTTATGATCCTAGATGATCCAACGCCTGTCTTTTGTTACATTAAAATTACTGACCCAAAGATATATTTTTACTTATTTAAAAGATAATTCTATATGCCTCTAACACAAAAGGCATATATGACATACATACGATATTCCTTGCAACACTAGAAATGTTATAAAATGTTAATAATGAATTTTTTAGAGTTACTGGTTGTGTGTTTTCCTCAATTTTTCAAACTAGTTTTTAAAATTTTATTTATTTACTTTTTAAAGATTTTATTTATTTGACACAGAGAGAGAGAGAGAGCACAAGCAAGGGGAACAGCAGGCAAAGGGAGAAACAGGCTCCCCGCTAAGCAGGGAGCCGGATGCGGGGCTTGATCCCAGGACCCTCGGATCATGACCTGAGCCAAAGGCAGAGGCTTAATCAACTGAGCTACCCAGGTGCCCCCAAATTTTGCTTATTTTATAATGGGAGAGTCAAACACATAATTTGGTAAAAATTAAGTGCCATGCTTTCTGCAAGCTTAAGTGGTCTTTTAAGTGTCCAATGAAGAACTTAACATGTAAAACTTATTTTTTTTTAAAGATTTTATTTATTTGAAAGAGAAAGAGCGTGCACATGAGCAGGGTTGGGGGGCAGAGGAAGGGTGAGAAGGAGTAAATAGACTCCTGCTGAGTGCGGAACCCTTCACTGGTCTGGATCCCAGGAGTCACGAGATTATGACCTGAGCCAAAACCAATAGACACTCAACCGACTGAGCCACCTAGGCGCCCCTGTAAAATGTATTTTGAATAGCCCAGAAACATTTATCTGTAGAAGATGCCATTTTATTTGCAGCTGATCTCTAAGTATTCTTTTACTGTGATAATATTTTATTTTATTTGATACTCGGTTCTATATGGTATGCTATTCATGTTATGCAGTTTCTCCCATTCTGCACTGAAGAAATATAATACTTTTTGGTGTCAAAAGCTTATCAAAAGTGAAACTGCTTATACAAATAAAGCTGTAGCTTATAAACTTTATTACCCTTTGTTTAATACTTAAGTTTTTCTCTCAAGTGGAGTAGACTTTGCAACTGAGATTCTGCTAATACTATTTAATTTATCAAGAAATATATTCCAGGGCGCCTGGGTGGCTCAGTTGGTTAAGCGACTGCCTTCGGCTCAGGTCATGATCCTGGAGTCCCGGGATCGAGTCCCGCATCGGGCTCCCTGCTCGGCAGGGAGCCTGCTTCTGCCTCTGACCCTCCCCCCTCTCATGTGCTCTCTCTCTCTCTCACTCTCTCTGTCTCAAATAAATAAATAAATAAATAAATAAATAAATCTTAAAAAAAAAAATATTCCAGCTGATCCAAAGAACAAATTCATATATTCGAAGACTTACATTAAAGTATGATTATAAGGCCACCTGGGTGGTTCAGTCAGTTAAGCATCTGCCTTCGGCTCAGGTCATGATCTCAGAGTCCTGGGATCGAGCCTCGCATCGGGACTCCACTCAGTCAGTGGTGAGTCTGCTTCTCCCTCTGTGATCTCTCTTGCTTTCTCCCTCTCAAATAAATAAATAAATTCTTAAAAAAAGTATGATTATAAATTATCAAAATAACAGTAATCCATTAGCTTTGTGGAAACAATAATGGAAACCTGTTTTTTGGGGGAAAGAAATAAGAAATCAGAAATGCATTACCTTTAATGAAGGGGATCAGCTTATAATTGAAGGAAAAATAGGAAGAAAATTATTTGCTTGTTTAGAGCCTGAGCTGTAAATTCTTTCTGTGTGCTAATGAGTAAACAGAATTTATGACCTAGGTAAATGAGTCAGTGGTCTCCAGATTTTTATAATACATCTTTTCCAGTAAATGTTTAAGTTATTGTATTAGTTTGGTAGATCTGCCATAACATACTACCAAAGACTGGGTGGATCAAACAACAGAAATTAATTTTCTCACAGTTCTGAAGTCTGTAAGTCCAAGATCAATCTGGAACCTTGTTGGCAGGATTGGTTTCTTCTGTCACCCCTCTCCTTGCCTTATAAATGGCCTGCTTCTCCCTGTTTCCTCACATGGTCTTTCCACTGTTTGTGTTTATCCCTAGTGTCTCAGGGTTTAAATTTCCTCTTTTTATAAGGATACTAGTCAGATTAGATTAGGGCCCACCCTAAAGGCCTCTTTTTAATTTAATCACCTCTGGAAAGACTTTCTAAATACAGCCACATTCTCACGTATTAGGGCTTCAGCATGTGAAGTTTGAGGGGATAAGTTTCAGCCCGTAAGTTACATACATTTTCTATTGCACTTTGTATATATACCTCCGCCCAAAATTTTTTTAAAAGATTTGATAAAATTAAATAAAAATACAAGTTATATTTACTTCCCAGTCCCAGTGGATTGTCTGATAGAGTTTGTACACACCACTTTGGAGGCCTAAATAATAAAATGAGAACCTCAGCTAATTAGCTATTCTGAAATGATAGTTCAAGTTTGCCTGTAACTAAGCTTTGTTCTCTTGCTTTGATGGTGGATTTCTCTGTTGTGTTTTTCTGCCATTCATTTTAAGGAACTAATAGTCTCTTGACGTTGGATTGTTTTACTACAAAGCCCGTCTTTATCTTTTTGACACATAAACCTCCACATGAATGTGAAGGGTTTTGAGAAATGTTTTATGTAAATATGAAAATTCATAAAATGCACAGAAGTCTATAAAGTATACTCATCCTGAAACACTTCTTATATCCAATGGCTTCAGAATAAAATTGCTTAGGTATGTAAAAATTCTTTTCCTTTGTACATATTAAGCTGCTTTATTCTTTAATAGTAATAATAAAATATAATTTCTGGTATTTGTGTCAGCTCAATTTCTTATATCTGCAGTGGTTTAAAACAAGTCTGGTAACAGTTTCTATTTTTAAAATAAAGCGTGGAACTTTGTTTATTCTTCAGTAGGTATTTGGTATAAGGTAGGGGAAATCCACTAACATTCTCATGATACATTAATATTGATTCTAGATAGGTTAATGGGTTAAATATTAATGATCAAACTGTAAGAAAAAAAAGGGAGAAAGAAACAGAAATAATTGCTTGCATCTGTGGGAAGAAATTTCCAAGCCGAAAGCAATGGAATCAATTACAAAATCAAAGAACTGATTGCATAAAATTTTTAAATATTTTTACATTTAAAGGGTTATAAGAAAAAATGGGAAAGTACTTGAAAATGTGATATGGTTAACATCTCTAATATAAATGTAAATAAAAATAGCACTAAGACATAGATAAGTGGACATGAGGTGGTAATTTACAAAAGAACATAATTAGTACGATTTGACACCTATTCAAACTAAGAACATGAAAAAATTATAAGGTTATCAGACATGCAAAGAACGATGAACAAGCATGTTTATCAACAGTAAGAAGGTAAGTTAGTATAGTGACCTCCATACCTTGGAATACTATGCAAATTTTAGAAATGATGTATATGAAGAATTTTTAATAAGAAAATGCTTATAATAATAGGATACATTATATGTACTATTTGATCAAACTTGAAAATGCTTAAAATTAGAGGAATACATCAAAATGTCAATATTGATGATTTCTAGTGGCATTATGTTCAATTTTCATTCTCATAGGCTTTTGTTTTTACATTTTTCTTCAGTAAGCATTAGCTTATTTAAAATCATAAAGTAGAAACATGCTAAAAAAAGGCAAAAATAATATAATAGAACCAATATGACCTCTTTCCAAGCATTACACATCCCCTTTCCCTAATAGAAATATAGTGTATATGATTTCTACTATCTCCTTAAAAGTCTTTTAAATGTCTATTTTGCAATTATACTACCATATTAATTAAATAAATACAACATAATGAGCACAGAAAAAAATGTATAAAATCTCTTATGTACAGAGGCTGAAAGATAGACTAATGACTTTTCTCTAAACAACTGACAAACTGCATGCATTTAATCACTTCACTCCTTAATACTTTATTTTCCACCAAAGCTAAATTCATTTTTAGATTACTGGGGAACTTGTTTAAGTAAATATATTAAGCTTCAAATCACATTAGTGGCGATATTTTTCTTTTTACATGATTCTAAGATTTGTACCTATGGTATATGCCTATATTGATATTTTGAACATCAAAGGTCTCAAAATGATGCTCATTAAATATCGGGGACCATGTGAAGTACTGATTTCCTGATGAATTGCTGATTGCTGTTACAAGGGAGCAACTAAAAAGTAACACTAAAAGAGCAAATAAACTGCCGTTCGTATCAGAATGGGTGTAGTACTTTCCTCAGAACATGTAACACTGCCCCTAGTAAAGGGTGGGAGGCTAGTGCGTAGGGTCATTCTGGTCTTCAGGTATTTGGTATCAGAAAGTGATGATAATTTTGAAGATCATGATAGTGAAAATAAGACACAGCAGCAGCTAACATTTGGGCGTTTACTGTTTCCTACCTTTGGTGCTAAGTGCTATACTGTGTATTTCAATTAATCATTTAACTCTCTCAGTTAAAAGAGAGAGATTATCCCCATTGTTCATCTCTAGGAAATAACACGCCTAATTTCTTCATCATATCCATCCCTTTTACCCTTTGTTCTAAATATCTGAGCTAAAGGGAACTTATCAAATTTGGTAGATTCAGTAACTAGCTTAGCCTCTGAGAACATTTTACAATGATCATCATACGAAACCTAATAGTGGCAAAGTTACAATTCTTTTTACTGAACAACCAGCACGCAGCAACCACCGTTCAAGGCAAGACTTCACTTGAAGCTCCAGCCACTCAAGCTCCGCCCAAGGGTCTAGCTACGCCCTCAGGAGTAAGCACCGCCTCCACCAGGGGCCGGCGGAAGTAACTTTGCGCGCGCGTGCCTCTCGCGGGACCTACACCTCTTTTTGGCGAGATTTGGACGACAAGGGCAAAGCGGTATCTCGCGGGAAGTTGAACCGGAAAAGCGAGGGGTAGAAGTGAATGCGGGTAAACCTCGGATGTGAAGCTGTGCTTTTGATTTCCTGGAGGTTTTAGATGCTCGGTGGTGTAGACCTTTTGTTTGGCATCTCGCGGAGGGATCATGTTGACCCGGGTGAGGGCTGGCACTCGACTGGGAGCCTCTGACTGAATCAGACACTTTAACGGGCCGAGGTGGCGAGGGAGGGGGTCGGGATGGGGGAACTTCGCGAGCTGTTGGTTTCTTTGGCTTCACAGTCCAAAGTCCTGGAGTAATGCTGAATGCTCGAACGCCTTCTCCTGAGCGTTCTCTGTCGGTTTCTCCCAAGACTCACCTGCGCCCCCCGTAACTTGTCTGTAATCCAAACTGCAGACCTGAATACCTATTCCCTTAAGCTTTGAGCCGAATACAGGCTCCACAGGGCCTGAGACTGTCAGCTGCTCCATTGTGGGAGCTTAGAACAATGTTACATAGTAATACCTCGCTAAACTTTGGATGAGTAAATGAAATAGAATTGCAAGGAAGTTTCCACAGGAAACGAGTGACTTTTTTTTTTGAAATAACCTTTTTAGAATAATTTTACATTTACAAAAAAAGTTGCAAAGATAATACTAGCTTCCATAGGCTTTTCATTCAGTTTCCCCAAATGTTAACACCTAGAGTGGCTTATTTAATTTTGTTCCTTTGACGCAGCTTCTGTTAAGTCCATTTTTTTTTTTTAACGCCACAAATCCTTTAACCTTTGCTTTACATTTGAGCAATAATTATTTGAAGAAACCCTCTTTTTTCATAAATACAATTTTGTTACATTGGAGGTAATGCTCCCTTGCAAGAACTAGTAATAATCGTAAAACATGTTAAGAAAAAACCCTGCTTATTTGAAGTTTTAATAAATTTGTAGTGGCAGATTGTGTCAACAGCGTTTTCTTGTCATCATAGCTGAAAGCAAAATCAGAGAGGAAGCTTGCAAAACAGATTTGCAAAGTTGTATTGGATCATTTTGAAAAACAGTATTCCAAAGAACTTGGAGATGCCTGGAATACAGTAAGGTTAGTATAATTCATCTCTTGATGCTTTATGATAGAACACGAAATAAACCCTTTTTGGGGGAGGGGTGCTGTGAGTATAAAAGATAAAGGAATCTAAATCTGGCTACCCTTTTCCTACAGAGGCTACAGAAGAGAAGAACTTTGAAGAAATAGATGGAAAATCATAGGAAAATGAAAAGGGGAGAAAGAAATCTTTGTAGTAATAGTAAGGAAAAAATTGTTATGGCCTTGCCTTGAGCAATTATTTTGATCTTTGAAACAGGAATGCCCACCAGTTTGACAAAATTAATTATACTGTAACAGAAAAATCTTAAAATTTTTGAGGGTATTTGACTAGTTTCTGAAATTCAGAAGATAATAAATCTTTAAAGCTGGCACAGCTCTGTCTTAGCTAGAGTCACTTTATTTGGTTATCATATTTCTTCCCTGTGTTTTTGGCAGGCTATGTTTTGAACACGTGTACACACACACAAATTCTTTGAATGTATTATTGAAAATAAATGTTTCATGCATAGAAGTAAGTGAGATAAGTTTGATTTGTATGTTTAGTGATTTTTGCCTTTGGTCAGAATGTTATTCCATGGGTTCTCTACATGGAGTTCTTTTTTTCAATTTTTGTTTAAATTCTAGTTAGTTAACATATAGTGTAATATTGGTTTCAGGAGTATAATTTAGTGATTCATCACCTACATATAACACCCAGTGCTCAGCACAGATGCCCATCACCATCTAGCCCATCTCCCACCAACCGCCCCTCCAGCAACCCTCAGTTTGTTCTCTATAGTTAAGAGTCTCTTATGGTTTGCTTCCCTCTCTCTCTCTCTTTTTTTTTTCCCTTCCCCTGTGTTCATCTGTTTTGTTTCCTAAATTCCACGTACAAGTGAAATCATACTTATTTGTATGTAATCATACGTATTTGTCTGTCTCTGGCTGAACTATTTTGCTTAGCATAATACATTCTGGCTATGCCCACATCATTGCAAATGGCAAGATTTCATTCTTTTTGATGGCTGAGGAATATTCCCGTGTGTGTGTGTGTGTGTGTGTGTGTACACATCTTTATCCATTCATCAATCAATGGACATTTGGCCTCTTTCCATTATTTGGCTGTTGTTGATACTGCTGCTATAAACATGGGGTGTATGTGTCCCTTCGAATCAGTATGTTTGTATCCTTTGGGTAAATTCCTAATAGTGCAATTGCTGGATCATAGGGTAGTTCTATTTTTAACTTTTTGAGGAACCTCCACACTGCTTTCCAGAGTATGGCCGCACCAGTTTGCATTCCCACCAACAGTGCAAAAGGGTTCCCCTTTCTCTGCATCCTCACCAACAGCTGTTGTTTCCTGACTTGTTAATTTTAGCCATTCTAACTGGTGGAAGATGGTATCTCATTGTGGTGTTGATTTATATTTCCCTGATGATGAGTGATGTTCAGCATCTTTTCATGTGCCTGTTGGCCATCTGTATGTCTTCTTTGGAAAAATGACTATTCATGTCTTCTGCCCGTTCCTTAACCGAATTAATTGTTTTTTTGGGTGTGGAGTTTTATAAGTTCTTTATATATTTTGGATACTAACCCTTTATCATTTACATCATTTGCAAATATCTTCTCCCATTCTGTAGGCTGCCTTTTAGTTTCATTGATTATTTCCTTGGCTGTGCAGAAGTTTTTTGTCTTGATGAAGTCCTCATAGTTCATTTTTTCTTTTGTTTCCCTTGCCTACATTGAGTTCTTACATAGTACATTCCATTCCCCGTAGAATACAGAGAGCAAGACAGTCCCCATATCCAGTTTGCCTGCAGTCTGGTGTTCCTGGGGGATAGGCGGCTGGTTAAAACTGTATAAACTATTAATTCCATAAATATCCTGATAGAAATAGGCAGGAGAACCTTGTCTTATTTAACAAAGCCTGAGGGTGCCAGCAAAGACCTGAGGAGAAGCCAGGCCTTGGTGACTTAACAGAAGTTACCTTAGCAAAAAGAACCAGGTAACTTAGGCTGAAAGAAGAGGGTGCTTCTGAAGCTAGGGTGCAAAAGCCCAATACTGTTTGCTCAGTAAAAAAACGTTATGTAGCTGTAGACAATGGAATTTAGTCACATTGTTGTCTTATTAAATCTCTTCTTAGACCAACTCAATAACACGTTCTCATTTACAAAGGACAGCTTTAAGCACTTTTTTTTAAAACAGATTAAGTATTGGCTGATAATAAAGTCTGAGGTGGTTCTGAGATAATTTTAGGACAAATAACACTGTCTTAGAAACTTGTAAATACTGTAATATGAAAAAGTAGTTTATGGTTGTGGTTTCTATTTCAAAACTAGATTTTAAAATGGATGTCTTCTGTCACAGAGAAGAAAGAAGGATGATAGTGAAGTGTAATAAATTCATTATGTTTTTGTATGTAAAGTTACTCACGTAGACTAGCCAAACAACCACACACCTACCCCGTGCTTATTATGTGCCAGATCGTATTGGCCTTATGTGATCCTCAGAACAAAGCTCTGAGGTCTGTTTCCCATTTTTCATGTGATGAAACTATAGAGTTGGGCGCCTGGGTGGCTCAGTCGTTAAGTGTCTGCCTTTGGCTCAGGTCATGATCCCAGGGTCCTGGGATCGAGCCCCGCATCGGGCTCCCTGCTCAGCGGGAGGCCTGCTTCTCCCTCTCCCACTCCCCCTGCTTGTGTTCCCTCTCTCACTGTGTCTCTCTCTGTCAAATAAATAAATAAAATCTTTAAAAAAACCCAAAAAACTATAGAGTTTAAGTAATTTCCCAAGTTTACTTAGCTAGTAAGTGCCGGAGCAGGGATTTGTGTCTAGGCTTTCTGGTTCAAGAATTTCCACTGCTGGGGCGCCTGGGTGGCTCAGTCGGTTAAGAGTCTGCCTTCGGCTCAGGTCATGATCCCAGGGTCCTGGGATTGAGCCCCGCATCAGCCTCCCTGCTCAGTGGGAAGCCTGCTTCTCCCTCTCCTGCTCCCCCTGCTTGTGTTCCCTCTCTCGCTGTGTCTCTCTCTGTCAAATAAATAAATAAAATCTTTAAAAAAAAAAAAAAAAAAGAATTTCCACTGCTAACCCCTAATCTCACACCTGCAGTGTAATTAGACATTCATGGATAACTTTAAAAAAAAAAAAAAAGAGGTTTTAAAAGGTATATTGTCTTCAGATTTTATAGTAGTCTGGCTACCCATACCCTGTAATGAGTTATTTTTCTATTTAATGTGCTCAGACAGATTTGTAAATTATTGTTTGACCCTAAACAAAATGAGCAGTGAACCTCAAATCCATTTAATTAGCTGTGCCTTCCGCTTCATCTACCTTTTTGTTGGGTTTTCATGGCAATTTAAGTTTTGCATAAATGTGCTAAATTTGCCATGGGCAAAATAAAGGCTGAGATTAGAAAGTAGTCTGAGCATGGAAGATGGCATGGGGAAGTAAGAACATATATATATATATTTAACTTTTATTTGGAAGACATAATGTCATGCTTGTGGAGTCTGTTTACTTCCAGGGAAAGGTGAGTGCATTGTTGTCTTCTACCTAGAAAGGGATTTACTTATTTTCAGTTTCCTGTCTTATCTAAGAGATTTAGATAGTGGGGAAGATTTAGTATTTATTTATATTTTATTGTTTTGTAATAACCTTTTTTAAAAGTTACCCTCTGAGCAGGCCTTTAAAGTTGTTTACAGTGGGTTCAAGTTTTGCACTGCTCATTACCTACATTATCTTTCAGGTAAGCCCATTCATGGCATGACTTTGAACTTCCCTCACTATGCTGCCATCTCAAGCTGTGCAGTCCCCTCTAAGCTTTGTTACATTCTTCTCAGTATTTTCTGGTAACTTCACTTAGTTTGGTACTAGGCAGTCTCAGAAGCATGCTATTTTTCCCTTCTAAACCTGTGTTATCATTTGCCACTTGCATGTTTTTTCTCACTTGTTGAAGATATCACCATCAGTATGTTTCCTCTTTTCTCCTCCACACCTTCAAGGTAAAGAATGAAACTTAATAAAAAATAAGTCTGACATTTACCCTCAGCTCCTGGGAGGTTATCTCTCAGCCCTTGGAATGTCCTGCCTAAGAGTGACTTTGTTTACCTGGGGCATTGGGCCACACTGGAAAGTCTTAACAGTGTGATTTGTGGTCGGGGCTGTGGGTCATGGTATTAGCTTGGCTTCCCACCTCTGACCTCTAAAGGAGCTGGAGAATTAAGATTAGCCAGTTGATCATGTTTGTGTGACGGGGCCCCAATAAAATCTAGATGCCAAGCTTTTGTTGAGCCTTCCTACTCGTCAGTATTCCTGTGCATATGGTCACACATTGTTGCAGGGAAGAGTCCTTGCCCATGATTCCACTGGACAAGACACCTGGAAGCTTCATGCTTTGAATTTCCCTGTGCTCTGCACCATGTACCTCTTACCTTGACTGACCTTGACAGTTTGGGGCTCCAAAACTATGGACTGCCATACACCACTACTCTGCCTCCATCAAAATCTAAAGGCCCACCAAATGCTTTTCCTCCTTCCTGAGAAATTTCTTAATTTGGATTTCATTTGTATCCCCTTTATTAGTGTTTCTCAGAGTCCATAGTCTCTCATGGTTCGTCTCCCCCTCCGATTCCCCCCCTTCATTTTTCCCTATTATTACTGTTTTTAACCAATTCTCCCATCAAGCTGTCCCATATACCCTTGACAAAATTAGTTCTGCCTTTGTGTTTCCATTGCATTTTGTTGATAACAGCTACTGTAATTCTTTCACGATTGTGTTGTCATAATTTATTGTTATTTTTTCTGACAAGGGAGGGTCTTGAAGAACCAATACCTTAAGACTTGAGCAAGTCATCTACTTATTCACACGTTAGTGTTTATAAACCAGGCACTGTTCTAACCACTGGGGATACAAAGATGGATTATATATATTCTGCCCTCAAATATATATGAGGGGAGGATTAATTGGAAATCTTTATATGAACTTTGGAAATTTTGTGTGCACTTTGTAGAAAGCA